GTTTCTGTAAGACTTCTATCTTCAAAGGTTCAATTTCTAAACCGCTTGTCACTTGTAGCATTGCCGATAACATAGCCAGAGCATCGGCAAAACTGTTTTGAGTTCTTGGCAAGTATTCAAACGAAATGTCTTCAAACTCTTCCACCAACTCCTCTAGATAGACGTGATAGGGCTGCAACTTAGCATCACTAGTTTGCCATTTACCAACGGTCTGAAGAATAATGAGAGTTGAATCCCCGAACACCTTAAGTCGAGCTACTCCCATTTCAATTACAGCTTGTAACCCGAGGATGCATGCTTCATATTCGGCGATATTGTTCGTACAAGGAAATATCAGTTTCGCTGCGACCGGATAATGTTGTCCGCCTGGAGATATTAAAACTGCCCCGATACCTGATCCTGACAAGTTTACGGCTCCATCAAAATACATGGTCCATACATACTCATCAATTGGCATGACTCTATCCTCTAACGGATCCAGATCCTCATTTTTCCCATGATTTTCAGCCAAGACATCAGCAATTACTCGTCCTTTGACTGATTTCTGGGACATGAATCGAACATTAAATTCTGAGACGAGAATCTGCCATTTTGCCAGTTTTCCAATCAAAGCGGGTTGATTGAGCAAGTATTTGATGGGATCACACTCTGTCACAAGCAATATCTGATAGTGCAAAGTGTATTGCCTCAATCTGTGTAGTATCCAAATCAATGCTGCGCACGTTCTTTTTGCTTCAGAATAATTCATCTCAGAGGCGGTGAATTTCTTACTCAAATAATAAATCGCACGCTCCTTTCCATCCTCTTCACTTTTCTGAGCAAGCATGGCACCTAAGGATTCACTGTGGATTGTAAGGTACAAGATCAGAGGTTGCCCCGGCGTTGGTGGAACAAGCACTGGCGGATTCATCAAGTAGTGCTTAATCTTGTCAAATGCCAGTTCACACTCTTCATCCCACCTAACCAGCGCATTCTTCTTGAGGAGTTTAAAGAAAGGCTTCGCTGTCTCAGATAGCTGAGAAATAAATCTGGCAATATAGTTTAGTCTGCCCATTAAGCTACGAACTTCCTTCACCGAAGAGGGAGATTTTATTTCACAAATGGCTTTCACTTTTGACGGGTCAATCTCAATCCCTTTGTTACTAACAATGAAGCCAAGTAGTTTGTCAGAGGCTGCCCCGAACACGCATTTTGCCGGATTGAGGCACAATTTGAACTTACGAAGCCTGTCGAATAATTTCGTCAAGATTTCTATGTGATCTTCTCCACGTCGAGTTTTTGAAATCATATCGTCAACATAGACCTCGATCTCATTATGCATCATGTCATGGAACAACGTGACCATTGCCCGCTGGTAAGTTGCCCCAGCATTTTTAAAACCGAAGGGCATCACCTTGTAATGAAATATCCCCCAAGAAGTGGTAAATGCTGTTTTCAACTTATCATCCTCATTCATCAAGATCTGATTATAACCTGAGAAACTATCCATGAAGGAGAATAGTTCGAATCCAGCTATACTGTCCACAAGCACATCAATGTGCGGGAGTGGAAAATCATCTTTAGGACTAGCTTTGCTCAGATCTCGGTAGTCAACATATACTCGAACCCGACCGTCTTTCTTCATCACTGGGACTATATTAGCGACCCATTATGAGTATTGGGTAGTCTCAATAAATCCCACGCCAAGAAGCTTCATGACCTCTTCCTTGATTTTCTTCGCCAGTTCTGGCTTAGCTCTTCGTGGCCTTTGTTTCACAGGCTCAACCGAAGGATCAGTCGGTAGACAATGTTCGATGATCGATCGATCAAGACCCGGCATATCAGCATAAGACCAGGCAAAGATGTCTTGATAATCCTTCAACAACCGAGTCAAGCATTTGGCCACATCTTCAGGAAGACATGCCCCAATCTTCACCTCTCTAGGATTCTCAGTGTCGCCAAGGTTGATCACCACGGTTTCTTCGGCGGTCAGAGGCTTAGATTTCTCATGGATTTCCAAGTTCCGTCGTATCTCTTCATCATTCGGATTAGAATCATCTGAGTCATAGGATTGGCTTGCATCACATATATGAGGGTCCACAATTCCCGTCCCTTCGCATGCCTCGAGATTAGTCCTGAAACATGAAAGAAAGGGATCAAAAAGACAAGACAAGGCTTAACTACATGCAATTTTTGAAATTCATTTTGCTTTCAAAGACCTCGAAACAAGAATTCTTGAGAAGCCCAACCCTTAGTTCTTACCGTAGATGACAAATTTTTCAATCGTTGGTTATCGTCATCGGGTTGGTTTGGGACACTTCAACAAGATTCAAAATGCTAAAAAACGCTGTAATTTTATTGATATTGAACCAATGAATTACATCTTATTGGATTGAAAAACCTAAGTGCAACATGAATAGGAATGACAATTGAAAAAAGCAATAAAGATTCCCGCGCAGGGGAGATACGAAAACTAGAAATGATTACTCTTGAGGGCTATCGCCCATCTCTTCAAGTGGTCCTTCAGTGATTGCACAAATGGAGGTCTCAGCAAACCAACCGGTGAGGTAAGGTATACTATCATCAAAGTCCAACACCCTCGACTCCGGCTTCTTGAAAATACAGGGTGGCCGGTCATCCTCAGAATCGTCAGACAAACTGACCAGAATCGCTTTACCGTGCTTCTTAGGTGAGTCAGTTAGGGCTTGTGGCGACTCAGGAAAGATAAGCCCAAGATCATCCTCAGTCGGGCTCAGATTTAAATGTTCATATCCTCCCACAACTCCAGCCGAGTGAAAGGTGTCGTTGATGGAAGGTGGTAAGGGACTTTGACCTGCTCCTGTTCGGCTTCTGCAACAATCGTTGCTGTGTTTGCGGCTTCCCTGCCTATGATATCCCAAACCAGCTTTGTGGGATTGTCCATTTGTCTCGATCGGGGCATGAATGCCTTGGCCTTCTTTCCCAAGACCCTGACCTGGCTTAAAACCATTACCGACCATGACCTTAGCCACCATGAGAGCTGCTTTAGAAACTTCAGGAATGGGCAACGGTATATCAGAGGAAGCTTGAAAAACTTGAACTATCTCAAATGAATGATAGCTATCCTCCTCAACATGATCGGGTTCTATGTATGGGATCGATGTTGCATTGAAGATTCGGTGATCTTCCTCTCCATAAATTGTAACCAACTTTGCTTCAGCCACAAACTTGATCTTCTGATGCAAACTGGAGGGTACTGCGCCTGCACTGTGAATCCATGGCCGTCCCAGCAAGAAATTGAAAGCAGAAGGGATATCCAGCACTTGAAAAAGAATATCAAACACTGAAGGTCCGATCTGCAGCTTTAAGTTAATCTGGCCTATGACATCTTTCTTTACTCCATCAAAGGCTCGTACAGAAATCTTGGCTGCTTGCATGGTAGATGGATGAATGCCCAGCCTTTTCAAAGTAGCCAACGGGCATAAATTCAGAGCCGACTCGTTATCAACAAGCACCCTAGCCATGTGAGTCTCCTTGTACTTCACTGATATGTGAAGCGCCTTATTATGACCACGTCCTTCAACTGGGATTTCCTCATCAGAAAATGCTACTTGATCTTTGACGAATAAATCATCACCTTTAATAACCACCACTTACTGCTATGATCGACTAACCACAATTTATATTTAAACACACGAAGAATATAAAAAATTAACAAGTCATAAAATGAAAGCCTAGACTAGTGGTTTTAGATCATACACTCATCATTTAATGCCATGAAACACTGTAGGATCATGACAAGACAGGTTTAGGTTCCAGGTTCCACCTACCTAGAACCTGGAACCTACTCATCGAAACAGGTTCCTCAATTTTTGGAATCTAGAACCTACCATGCATACCTTAAAACTTGAAACCTACGGGTTCTCATTGGTCAGATTCTCAGGTTCTAGGGTAGAACCTGAAACCAAGTTCACCCCTATTGAGTAGTGCCATGCAGGTGAGGAAGCAGTGAGACTCTTGTGAATGGAGTTTCTCATGGCAGCGCTTGAGCCTTCCCTTCCCTTGTACACAACCGACCACACATCTCCCTCGTCAAAACCACCATTGCTGCTCATCATCACTCACTGATAGTTTTCATCACAAGACCAGCAATCACCCTTTGATAAAAAGGCTTGCTTTCCAAAGCTCTCAATTTCTCAAAGCCCTTTCACGAAAGTTAAACGCTATGTTTAGTACCTAAAGCCAGTGACCCAGAAGAGAGAACGAGGAGGTCTTGCGTGTTTAACTAGAGAGAGTTGCTGGTCTTGGCACAAACATATAGAGGGGTTTTTCTATAGCTCAATCACAGCCGTGGTGAATAATGACAAAAGCTGTTTTAAAAACATGAAGAAGTGTTCTATTTATGGGGGTGCAAAATAGATTGCCCGGACTGGACCGGACAGGTCGGTTTGGTCCAGTTCCCGGGAATGTTAGTCAGGTTCTCGGTTCCTAAAAGTGGTACCGATGTCCAGGCGGTCCGGTTACCGGCTCCAAGGGAGAACTAGACCAGACCAGACCGACAACATACACTTTTTTATTTCTTCAAAAAATTAGTAAAATGTCAACTAAACCTTGCTTCCGTCAAAAGTTGAGATTTGTCACTCACTCTCGTTGTTGTGGGAAAAAAATAAAAAAAGGGACCGGTTCTCTGTCTTAGGACCAACCAGACCAGGCCGGGAACCGATCATTATTAGTTTTATTTTCTCCTTTGACCAGCTAGGGAAAATATTTAAAAATCAGAAAAAGAAAAAAATCCAAACATAGTTTATCAGTAACTGAACGGTCCAATCTTCTTTGCTTCAAGGCAAAAAAATACTCAAAAAGTGAAAACTTGACTCCGCCAAATCCACTGACTCTACTTGCGACTCAAGTCTGAGTGATCCTAGTACAAAAAGATCTGCTCATGATGCTAGACATAGCCAACAAGGAAACAATATCCAGTCTAGCTTCTGCACAATGAACCTTTCACTAGTATCATGATAAGAAGGGACTGCTTGTTTCGGTCAAAGGAAAAACAACACGCTTGATCGAGCAGATATTACATTTCAGGTGGAGATAGGCTATGGCATGAATTACCACATGTTTCCACCCTGATTACCACTAAACCTAGCACAAATAAGAATTTACATTTGAAGGAAAAACAATCCTACTCGACCCAGCAGTGTTATTGACTAAATACTTAACGTTCCTCGCTTGTCGGGGGTCGGGAGATAGAAAAAAGAAAAGCTAGCTTCATATTTGTCTGTGCTAAATGCAAGAAGGCGGCTTTTGTACGCCCCGTGAGCTGCCTATCACATGAGCACAGTAGGACTTCGCATTCCCTTTGCTGCCGGTGTAAGCCAAGTTGATGTTGTCGAGATTGATGTTCTTGCAAGGCAAGCTCGGGCTGCATATGAGGTTGACCGCCACCTGCGAAGCCGAAGTGCCCTGGATCTTCGAGAACAAAACGTCCTTGATCTGAACATTCGACGCCAACTACGGAGAGAGAGAGAAAGAGAAAAGCTCATCAGGTGTCGCATTGATTAGCGAGAGTAACATAAAAAATGAGAAAAGTAATCAAGAATCAACCCCATTCAAGATAAATTGCAGTACTTTAGAAGTATACCTCCTTAGAACAACCACCACGGGGACAGTACTCTTGGTCAATAATAATGGGTCTAAGCACATTCGTCATGGTAATGTCATGAAACGAGAAATTGTAGGCCTTGCTTTTGAGCGGAGAAGCCCACGTTTTGATCCTCACACCATTCTGAGTGCCAACCATAGTACAATGCCTCACCGACAGCCCGGTTACGTCCGCCTCGTTCGGGTATTTCCCGAGACTCCCTACGCTAAACCCGTGACCCGGCCCGCAGTGGACGCCCACGATGTCTATGTCCTTCGACCCCGGGCCAACCGAGACGCAGTCATCCCCGGTCGATATCACGGAGTCGGCGACCCTGATACGGGATGAGTCGCCTATGTGGATCCCGTCCGTGTTGGGGCTTTCGTCGGGGGCGATTATCCGCACGCCCCTGAACTCGAGATCATTGGAGGCGAAGACGTTAAAGTGGAAGTGCTTGCTGTTGACCGAACTTATCTTGCGAATCGATGTGTTGTTGACGAAATTGAATCTCACCGACTGGGAAAGAAAGATTAGAGACTCGTTAGAGACTCACCGGAGATTCATATCTTCTATTGCAAATGAGAAATTCTTTCACAAATTTAGCATGCAATTAGATAAACACCACAAACACATATTCACTTATTATACCTTTATGCAATCAATACGTCATAAATCCACCTTATCAAATAAGGAAAGTCAACCTTATTTCGAGAAAATCGGGTGACAATATTGAACATGATCATATCTATATGAAAATATTGATCCTTGGCTGGAGCATAAAAGTCAAGAATTGCCAAATTTCCCGCAAAAAAATTATTTATTCTATTATGAAGGACCGTCTCATTTGAAAATAAATTTAAATTTTAAATATGATTGATGGGTGTTCATTGAACTTGCCTTTAGACATGGGATGCAATTATGGAGTGTTAAATCAATAAATAAATAATAAAAAAAGGACCCGTAATTTCTGCAGTGGCCTAATACAATTGATTAATCAAAAAGCTATATATAATTCTTTGATTTTTAATCTTTAAGTTAAAAAAAAAAAGGGCAGAAGAAAGAAGTGGGAGAGGACTTACCGTTGGAAGAGGATACTTGCAAGCGCATTCGTTGTAAGGCCAAGCTGCGGGCCCCTGGCCGTCGAACGTACCCCCGCCGTTGATCAGCATCCCGCTGACGTGCTGGAAGGTGATCCAATGGTCCAGGGAGAACGTTGACTTGTCAACGGGCGCCTGGACCACCCCTTTGACCGTGACCGTCAAGGGGCCGGTGCACGGCCCCTTGAATGCCACTGGCCAAACCACGTATGTCCCTAGCGGCACGTACAATCTCCTCCGAACTCCCTTCTTGTATTGACAAGCTTGGTTCCACGCATCAAGAAATGCCTAGAAAAGAAAAATTAATAAACAAAAATTAAGTTCAACCCTTTACAATATGATAATTAATCATCTTCAGGCGAACGAGCCATGCTGAGTCCCGCCCGCCCGGGTCCCCGATTCCATCTGGTTCCTTGCGAACGCCCCGGCTGCGAAACGACAATGCCGATCGACACGAACCGTGGCGAGATGGGCATCGGCGATTCTCTTACCTTGCTGTTGTCGGTCTTCCCGTCGGCGATGGCGCCAAACTTCCTCACATCGAAGACCTTCACTTGCGTGCCGGAGTGGACTCCGTCCGGGAGCGCCACCACCACCGCCGCGAGCAAGAGCCAGCAGATCTTGGGCAAGCACGAGCTCGAGTCCATTCCCATGAGCATTCCTTGGCCTTGCAATTTCAGCATGGGATGGAGTGATTTCTCTTCGGCTTAAGCCTTACTTGTAGGGTTTGGTGGCCATGGAGAAAATGGAGAAATTTAGGATTCGATTAATGCTTTCCTAAATTGTGCTCTCTAATTGAATTTCTTGCCTTGGCGCCAACGAGATGATATGGAAATTATCTTTATTTGGTAGAGTATTTCTTGGAAATTGAATTGAGAGCAAGATATTCGAGGAAGGTCAAAATTTTTTGCATAAATTGACTTTGGTGGACTCTACTTTTGGGGCGGTCAAATGGGTCAACTCGTCAAGTCAAGGAAAGTTCATTAATGAAAAATTAATGGATTGTTGGGTGGATCAAAATATTCGAGGAAAGTTTCATTTTGTGGTTTTTTTGCATGCAAATTTAGTAATTTTGTTTCGTTTTTGCTCGCCCTTGAAAAGGAATTTCTACTGAGAAAATTGAGGGAAAGAGGTTTTGGCCGTTTTAGAAGTAAAGCATACTTTTTTTATTTAGATGGATAAAGTGTATCTTAATCGATCTCGAAAGAGTCTTTAGGGTGGATTTTTGTTTCGGATGATACCATAAAATGGATTTCTAACCAGAATAGGCTGATGATATGAAATCTAGAAATTTTATTATATGCTATTGATGAATCGCAGTAATAAAATCGGACAATTTCACATCTTATCATATCCATTGTTTAGATGGCCAAAAGGTTTTACCTAAATTGACTTTGGTGGACTCTACTGTTGGGGCGGTCAAATGGGTCAACTCGTCAAGTCAAGGAAAGTTCATTAATGAAAAATTAATGGATTGTTGGGTGGATCGAAATATTCGAGGAAAGTTTCATTTTGTGGTTTTTTGCCTGCAAATTTAGTAATTTTTGTGTTTTTTTCTTCACCCTTGAAAAGGAATTTCTACTGAGAAAATTGAGGGAAAGAGGTGTTGGCCGTTTCAGAAGTAAAGCATCCTTATTTAGTTGGATAAAGTGTATCTTCATTGATCTCGAAAGAGTCTCTAGGGTAGATTTTTGTTTTGGACAATAACATGAAATGGATTTCTAACCAGGATAGATTGATGATATGAAATCCATGAATTTTATTATATGCTATCGGTGGATTGTAGTAATAAAGTCGGATGATTTCACATTCTATCATGTTCATTGTTTACTTTAAACAGCGTATTATTGTAAATGATTCTAAAAATTGCACAAACGGAAACAATAAGAATTTCTCATGACACTCTTGCCTAATTTATTTTTATCTGATTATTTTTATTATTTTTTCTCTTTTTTTTTAATTCTTTTCTTTTTTTATTTCTTTTTTCCCCTTCCATCATTCTCTAATTATTAAATAGTAAAGTATACTAATATTCCTAAAATACCAAAATATGTAATAAATATAAATAGTAAATATATGTTTATATATATATAGTGAATTTATATTATAAGATAGAAAGAAATTCGAATATATAAATAAAAATAGGAATAAAAAACGATTTTTTTTATTTTTTCGTTATTTTGAAATTTTGCATAATAATTCAAATATTATTGATTTTCAAATATTATTTTAATTTTATTAATTTAAGAAGTTTGTTATTTGAGAAAAATAACTTTTATAACGTGGATATTAGAAATCCTATCCACATTTATCTTACCTCCCCTATAAGACAATTTTATCTATGTTATATCCCTTTTATATGCGATTTTATCATATCTTGAGTAGGCACTAAATACAGGATAGGAGATCTATGTTATACTTGCATGATAAACCAAGATTTGTTTGAAAGATTTAGGTACTTCCGCTCATGGGAGATCTGTTGAAGTGGAAAATTGTATATTGACTTAGTATTTTATTTCATATTTTATATGGTGGTTTAGTTCGTTTTTGACATGTTTCTTGACATTGTCCTAAGGTCTCAAGTAAAACATTTTCCCACCTCATGGTCACAACATTAGAGAAGGGCAAAGGGTAGGAGCAACGTGTAGCTACGGTTCTTCCTTTCTAGTCTGTTTTGTTTGTCCATGTCTCGGTTCTGCGTAAGATAGTTTTAAAAGTTTGAATAGCCCTAGGCGAAAGCACCCAAACCAAGAATGGAAACAGAAGCCTTTCGATTCATTTCCCATTCTGCAAGAATAAAGCTCGCTCTCGAGCCTTGGGCAAGTTGGTATGGTCTTTCCTTGTTGTTCAATTGCCGAAACTCACAAAGAAAAACAGAAGTGAGTTAGATAAAAAAACGAAGAAACTTGACAAAATGAAACTAAGTGACTTAGACAAATCTTTTTTATTGATAACCTCATGCCAATCAATTGAATATTGATTAATATGCAATCGCTCGAAAACTACTTGAAAACTCACTTTTGCTTAGAAATGAACCGCGTTGAAGGGCGGCTAATATTGATATTACGTGAGACTGTAGACTCGTAATGAGTTAGTCATCTCACATAAATTTTGCAATTAGAAGATATAGTAAAAAAGAACCGATTTGAAATATTTAACTAGGTCAAAAATTAATAAATGTGACCCAACAAAAGTCGTGTTCACCTCTATGTGCAGTGAAATTAACAAATTCTCAAGGGATCGACTAATCTGTCAATAGTCTAGCATTTGATATAGAAGCGATAAATTATATGTTTTAATCACAATGTTTATTCTTTCAAAATGACGTTGGAGGCCATGCCCACTAGGCGCGGTTGTTTTTCGGCCCAACACACATAGGGCCTGTTTGGTTTAGCTTTTCCAAGAGGCTTTGGAGGAAAAAATATGAGGTGTTTGGTTTAGCTTTCCAGACTCCATTGGCTAAATGCTAGCATTTGGAATGCTGAACTATTTTTTTTCCTCCTCAAACTACCATTACTTATTCTTTAATATTCCGATTTTGCCCCATTGTTACTATTCATCTTCTTCGTGAAAGGGCAGCTGGTGAGGGCGGCCGACGAGGGCGGCTGGTGAGGGCGGCCGACGACACCAGATCTGGACGGCGAAGGGTCAGAGAGGTCGCCCGAGTCCAAGCGACGGTGCCAGGGTCACGCGACCTTAGGCCTCGTCGCCTGAGGTTGGGCGACCCCCGACGACGGCCACCTAGGTCGCGCGACCCTCGTCGGGGGTTGCCCGACCTCGGGCGACGACCGCCGACGCCAGATCTGGCTCACCGGCAGCCGTAGCCCTTTGTCCCGGCGAACGATAACTTTTTTTTTAAATAAAAAATGGTCCCAAAGCCCTTTGCAAAAAAAAAATTAGTCAAACACTACTTGGACCAAAGTAGCTTCACAATTTTTTTTTACCAAACGCCATTTGCATTTTCTCAATGAGCTTTAACCTAAAGGTACTTGTATTCCCCCGAGGCTCATTTGCAAAGTTGAACCAAACGGGTCCATAGTCGGAATTATTAGCGCGCATTCGTGAAGATTGATGGATTTAAGTGTTTGGAATAAATTTCCAAATCGAGATCTTATTTCAATTGACTCGAGTTTTTCTAGTTTGAAGAGATTCTATAATTCCTTATGATTTGTTCTTCGTGATTTTTCTTGATATTATCATCATTGTTAGAATATCGAACCAAAAACTTAAGCTTATAAATGTTCAAAAATTTGACGATAGGGGCTGAATCTGGCTTTGAGACTTTGTTACAATATCTAACCTAAAAGCTTAAAGTAATAGGTAAAGGGAGAATTCATGTATATAAAGAGCATATAAACCCTATAGTCAAGTATCGTGGGATATTTCAAGAGTTTCAATGTAATTAAACACGGCCTATTTTTGTAATCTTGACTTTCTCCACTTCATTTTGCAAATTTATCATGGAATCAGTTATGAGGGCACTAAAAGGTCCATCTTTCTTGGTCACACAACACGGTTCTGACATCTTCCATGTCATTCTGAGTGCGACTGAGAACTGCCTAGAACCTTGAGAAAGAAAGTAAATTAATGGTTTGTGAGTAAACACAAGAAGAAAAAGTGCCAGAAATTTTGCGCCTGTTGCAGATGGGCACAGTTTTTTACTGGGAAATCCTGAGGAATTCACTTTTTTTTTTTGTCGAAATAAAGATATCATTTTATTGAATTCGAGTCCATCTACAAAAGTAAGGGACACCAAAATATAAAATTTTTCAAAAAAAGAAAAGGCAGTTAGAAACCCAGTTTAGGGTCTTAGCATGTACAATTCAGTCTGCTAGTCTATTTGAGTCATAGGAATGGAGGACCAATTTTAGATTCTCAAAAAAGGCCCAGAGGCCAATCATAGATGGATAGCTCAACATCCCAAGGACAGAAAGGACATGGAAGAAAGGCGATGTTTTCTGGTTTTCTTAAACTGCAAGGCCAAAAGAAAGGACAATTTTGTTGTATTCTATGTGGCATTACTTATGTTACGCTTAAATCCGACGATCACGAGCGGCCTAGTATTCATTTTACAGCTATGAACATCGTGGATCAACTCGATCCAAAACACAGGATCTTGAGAAGGGGCAGCGTATGGACGTCGAGAAAGCAAGGGACTTACAACACTATGAAAAAATCGACTCCGCCAGATCCGCCAGCTCTGCTTGCGGCTCAAGTCTGAGTAGTCCTAGTACAAAATGATCTGTTCTTATAATGCTAGACATTGCCAACAAGGAAACAGAATCCTGTCTAGCTTCTGCACAATGAATTTTTCACGAGTGTCGTGATAAGAATAGACTTCTTGTTTCGGTCAAAGAAAAGTCAGCATTCATGGCCAAGCAGATATTACATTTCCAGTGGAGATAGGATGTAGCATCAAAGAACACATGTTTCCACCCTCATTACCACTTAAACTAGCACACGGGAGGATTTACAATTGAAGGAAAAACAATCCCACTCAACCCAGCAATGTTCTCGACTCCGCTTATCGGGGTCCGGAGGGTCCGGAGATAGATAAAAGGAAAGCTGGCTTCTTATTTGTCTGTGCTAAATGCAAGAAGGTGGCTTTTGTATGCCACTAGTGTCGCCTTCCACATGAGCACAATGCGATTTCGTAGGCCCATCGTCGCCGGTGTAAGCCAAGTCAATGTTGTCGAGATTGATGTTCTTGCAAGGCAAGCTCGGGCTGCATACGAGGTTGACCGCCACCTGCGAAGCCGAAGTGCCCTGGATATTCGCGAACCAAACGTCCTTGATCTGAACATTTGACCCCGTCTAGGTAGGGAGAGACAAAAGAGAGATCATCAGATATCGGATTGCGAGAGTAACATATGAAATAAGAAATGTAATCAAGAATCAACCCAATTCAAGATCAATTGCAATACTTCAGAAGTGTACCTCATTAGAACAACCACCACGGGGACAATACTCTTGGTCAATAATAATGGGACTTCGCACATCCTTCATTTTAATGTCAACAAACGAGAAATTGTGGGCGGTGCTTTTGAGCGTAGAAGCCCACGTTTTGATCCTCACACCGTTCTGGGTGCCAACCATGGTACAATCCCTCACGGTCAGCCCGGTGACGTCCGCCTCGTCCGGGTACTTCCCGAGGCTCCCCACGCTGAACCCGTGACCCGGCCCGCAGTGGACGCCCACGATGTCGATGTCCTTGGACCCCGGCCCGACTGAGACGCAGTCGTCCCCGGTCGAGATCACCGAGTCGGCAATCTTGATGCGGGACGAGTCGCCTATGTGGATCCCGTCCGTGTTGGGGCTTTCGTCGGGGGCAGTTATCCGCACGCCCTGGAACTCGAGATCATTGCAGGCATAGACGTTGAAGTGGAAGTTCTTGCTGTTGATCGAACTTATCGAGCGGATCGATGTGTCGTTGACGAAATTGAACCTCACCGACTGCAAAAGAAAGATTAGAAACCCGTGGAGATTATAACTTTGCGTAATCAATTCGACATAAACCCACTTCGTCAAAAAGGAAATTAAACTTTACATCCAAGAAAATCAAGTGGTAATAGTGAACACGATCATATCTATTTAGAAATGTTGATCCTTGGCTCGAGCAAAATAGTCAAGAATTGCCAAATTTCCCGGTAAGATCGGTATTAAAGTGAAAAAGAGAGCTCGAAAATAAATATTGAATTTACTATGTAGGACGTCTAATTTGAAAAATGAAATTAATTTTAGATATGATTGATGGGTGTTCGTTAAACTTACCATTACACATCGGATGCAATTATGGGGTGTTAAATCAATAAATAATAATAATAAAAGGCGCATAATTCTGCAATCGCCTAACACAACATATCAGGGTTAATTCCAAAAAAAACACCAATTTTACCTTAAGTGATAATTCTAGCCCGACATCAAATTTTACTTGAGTCTCAAATCTGGCTCCAGCGATGTAAAATTTTCAAATTGTTATTATCAAATTTGGGATTTAAGTGAAAGTTTGGTGATTAAAGGTAAAGTAGTTGTTGTTTTTTTTTTTTGGAATTAAGCCCAATTTATTAAACAAAAAGCTAATTATAACTCTTTGATTTTTAATTTTTAATATTAAAAAAAGGGCAGAAAAAAAGAAGCGGGAGAGGACTTACCACTGGAAGAGACTTGCAAGCGCATTCGTTGTAAGGCCAAGCTTCGGGCCCCTGGCCATCGAACGTACCGTCGCCGTTGATCAGCATCCCGCTGACGTACTGGAAGGTGATCCAATGGTCCAGGGAGAACGTTGACTTGTCAGCGGGCGCTTTGACCACCCCTTCGACCGTGACCACGATGGGTCCGGTGCATGGCCCCTTGAACTGCACCGGCCAAACCATGTAAGTCCCGCTAGGGATGTACAATTTCCTCCTATCTCCCCCTTCGTGTTGACACGCTTGGTTCCACGCATCGAGAAATGCCTAGCCAAAAAAAAAAAAATATTAAGTCGAACTCTTTTCGATATGATGATTGACCATTTTGCCAGTTTTAAGCAACTATATCTTCCTATATTTGACAAACAGGCCACGACGACTCTCGCCTGCCCGGGCCCCTGATTCCATGCGCTCCTCGTGCTCGCCCCGGCTGCACGGGGCGAGACGGGGTTCCGGCGGTTCTTTTACCTTGCTGTCGTCGGTCTTTCCATCGGCGACGGCCCCGAAGCTCGTCACATCGTAGACCTTATCTTGCGCACGGGAGGGGGCTCCATTCGAGAGCACCAACGCCAGCACCGAGAGCAAGAGCAAGCAGACCTTGCGAAGGCACGAGCCTGAATCCATTTGCATGTGTCGCTAGCATGGGATGGATAGTGGTTTCTCTTGGCATACTTGTAGGGGTTGGTGCCAATGGAGAAGATGGAGCAATGCAGGATTCGATCAGTACTTTCCTTGATGTGCTCTCTAATTGAATTTCTTGCCCTTTTTTCCTTGGCGCCAACGAGATGATAGGGGAATTATTGTTATTTGGTAGAGTATTTCTGGAAATCAAATTAAGAGCAAGAGATCCGAGGAAGGCCGGAACTTTCTCTAATTGACTCTTTTGTTTTTTTGGTTCGAATCCCAAATTGACTTTGATGGACTCTATACTAGGGGCTGAGGAAAGTTATCCAGTGAAAATCTACCTATGTAAAAGCCTTTCATTTGTGGTTTTGCATGCAAATTTAGTAAGTTTGTGTTTTTCTCGCCATTAAAAAGGAATTTGTCCTAATAAAATTGAGGGAAAACGGCTATTTTAGAAGGAAAGCATCCTTGTTTAGATAGTTAGTCCGAATCAGATAAACTATATCTTCCTAGATCTCAAAAAAGTCTCTGGGATGGATTTTGCATTGATGCTAATTCAGTCCTTCGATACGTGAATAGCTGTTAGCCAGAAGGACTGAATTGGCATCAATGCAAAATGTTTAAGACTGAATTGACACAAATACAAAAGGTTTAGGACTAAATTGACACAAAAAAAAGGTTTAGGACTCAATTGACACAAATGCAAAAGGTTTAAGATTGAATTGGCACCAAAAAAAGGTTTAGGACTAAATTAACACCAATGCAAAAGGTTTAGGACTTTTTTGACACTTTTCTCTCGTTTGAAACAATGCCATGAAATGACCAATTTTGTCTAAGGACAAGTTTTTTTTTCTTTGTTCGTTCCCCTGCTTTTGTCTGGTAAACCATAACTAAGGGAAATTAGTCAAAGCCAAAACCTTTTCGAATGGAAAATGGTAGACTTTGTAAGACTGGTTTACAAAACTATTTACTAAATAATGTATTAGACTTATATATTACAATTGGTGTTGTAATAATTAAAAAGTTAATCTATACTTGCATGATAAACCAGGACTTGTCTGGAAAATTTTATATTGACTTGGTTTTTTATTTCATAATTTATAAGGTGGTTTAGTTCCTTTTTTGACATGTTTCTTGACATTGTCCTAAGGTCTCAAGTAAAAAAATTTCCTACCTCGTGGTCACAGCATTAGAGAAAGGCGAAGGGTAAGCGCATCATGTAGCCACAGTTCTTTCTTTCTAGTCTGTTTTGCCTGTCGATGTCTCCATTCTGTGTGATATAGTTTCAAAAGTTTGAATAGCCCTAGGCGAAAGCCCCCTAACCAAGAATGAAAAACGAAAGCTTTTCGATTCACTCCCCATTCTCTCAACAATAAGCTCGCCCTCGAGCTCTGGGCTGGTCAATCGAGTCTTTCGTTGTTGTTCTGTTCCTGAAACTCACAAAGAAAAAAAACAGGAAGTTAGACGAAAACGAAAAGGAGAAACTTAGACAAAAAGAGAAATAACTTGGACAAAACGAAACAAAATGACTTAGACAAATCTTTTTTTGTCGATAACTTCATATTGATCAATCGAATTGATTAACATGTAATCAATCGAAAACTACTTGAAAACGACTCTTTTGCTTTGAAACGAACTGCATTGAAGGGTAGCTGATATTGATATCACATGAGATTGTAGACTCGCAATGAAATAGTCATCTCACATGATTTTGCAATTAGAAGATATCGGAAAGAAAGAATTGATTTGAAATATATAACTGGGTCTAAAACTTAATAAATGTGATCCAACAAAAGTCGCGTTCACCTCTATGTGGAGCGAAATTAAAAAATTCTCAAGGGATTAATTTGTCAACAGTCGAGCATTTGATTTATAAGCGACAAACTCTATGCTTTAATCACAGTTTTTATTCTTTCAGAAATTGCCAAAATGAGATCTTATTTCAATTGACTTTAGTCTTTCTAGTCGAAAGAGATCATATCATTCATTATGGGTTGTTCTTCGCGATTTTTCTTGATGCCATCCTCATTGTTAGAATATCCAACAAAAAAATGAAGGTTAAAGGTGTTAAAAAATTTCAATGGGTGGGGCCATTAAAATGTCCAATCCAAAGCTTAAACTAATAGGTGGAGAGAGACCTCATGTATATAAAGAATATATAAACCCTATAGTCTCCGACAAAAAAATACCTTATAGTCAAGCGTCGTGAGATATTTTATGTCATCATGATGGAGTTATTTTCTGGGGACCAACATTTCTAAATTCTTTTTTTGCAATTTCCTATTCCGACCGTTATTTTACTTTTAATCGGGGTAGACACAAGAGGAGTAACATATACATACTCAATAAGAAATTAAATAAAGCCCATGTTATTTCCATCCCTTATTGGCTCCTGATACCCTGTCACATTGAATTGACTACAATATTCCTTGCAGTTTCATTCTTGATTTAAGATGATTTTTTTCCTTGTTTCTTTTTCTTTTTCAAGTTTTCTAGATAGGAAACTATCCATGCTCCTATCAAACAACATTTATTAAGGTTAAATGTGGGGCCAACTCTTGATTTATGATTATTTCTTGCCTTGTTTTCTTCTTCTTTGGTTTTTTATCCTTTTCTTTCTCGATTTGGAACAAAATTGGTGTCCCACTTTTCCAAAAAAAAGTTTATTTAGTAGATAGATAACTAATTATTATGTATCGACCAAAAAAAACTAATTATTATGTTAATGAGTTGTATATTCTCTTTTGTGCTGGGAAACTACTTTTTAAAAAATAACCTAAGCACAAGTAAGAGTAAAAAAAATTATCTACAAGTTTTAGTATAGCATTTTATTTAATTATAACTTTAATATGTGTCATGACATTGTAGCTTGTGTATTCCAACTTCTCTACTTTCATTCTATTAAGTGAATCTCATAGTCTCCGACCAAAAAAAATTAATCTCATAGTCCAATTTTTAATTTTTTTATTGCCATCATTGCATGATGTTAAAAATATGAGAAAGTTAAGTACATAAAAAACTCTTCGACAAAAAAAAAGTGCATAAAAAATTCTAAACATCCATTATTATCATGCAAATGCAAAAGAAAATGCTTCCTAAAACATTATTACATATAATGCTATCTTTACCCTGATGACGTGGTATAATTAATTGTTGACTAGATATTACGACAATTGTAATGACATTACAAGACAACCCAATCAAACCATCTGCAAACCCATTTTTTTGTCAATTATAAATGCATCAGAATTTTCATAAAATTATCAATGAAAAGAAAATCATCCTCAAAATACAAATGTACCGCAATAACAAGAAGTTGCATATGCAACTTAATAAAAGATATTGTCCGTTCAGCTGCTTGGCTCTTTTAAAAAAGGGTACTCTCTTGAAGAAAATATTTTATGTGAATTAGACAATTAAAGTTTTAAATTACATCAATAAGAAAGTCATTATTCACTTAAAACAATATATATCAAGGAATAATTTTTAATGTTATAATGCGAGAAGCTCCAAACATGATTGATTACTATTCTCTATTCGCATTTTCATCATCAATACATACATTTAAGCAAATTGGGTGCTCTTCAATATTGTCCTCCATAATGACTACACTACAAAAAACAATACAATGGAAGATGTATAAATTGTGTATAAGCATTCATCAACCACAATATTCAATCTTTGATCATGAGGATTATCTATAAAAGAAAGTTCATAATTGGCAGAATAAGTTTAGAAGAAGACAGCCATGAAGGAAACATTAACATGTAATGGGTGCGGAAGGAGCGGGTAGAGTGAACAAAAGTCATTTGAAAGGGATGCGGGTAATTTTGTCTTTTAATATAATCGAAACAAAAGAAAACAAAGAAAAAATGTAAGAAATAATCTCAAATAAAAAATGGGACCTCCAATGAATAATGTAGTCAATTCAATGTGATAATGAAGTGTTAGGAACCAATAAAAGAGTGGAAATACGGCAAGCCAATAACAATACTAAATACGTTAAAACCGATACAACCAAAGGATTGTCCTGGACGTTTAAATCGGCCCACTAACTTAAAAACTCACTTATTGTTCGTCACATCAATTGGGATATTCATTTAGCAGACTTAGCACTCGTCATAATTTTGTCTCTTTATATATTAGTTGTGCAAATCAAGCCTTATACATCCAAACAACATACACGAAGCTTTATACTTACAATAATCAAGGAAATTGCTTTAATTTTTCATCCTACTTTAGCTGCCTTGGCAATCGTGCGCAAGTATAATTTGCCAACCTTTATTCTTTATTTTTTGTCAGTTTGGTCTCGCATGTTTCTTTCTAATATTTATTGATATACTCTTTTCCTTATGCTTTAATCAATCGACGATTCCAAACGGAAAAAGGAAATTGCGGCGATTAAAGATGGACTTTTCTCCAAAAAAGTTTATTCATGCATGCATATGTCAAGCCACCGGCTCCCTTCAACGGAAAGACATTCAATCTACACAGCTAAATTTGTATTACATATGTAAAGAAGATTCTTTCTCCACTTGTCATTACTTATCTAGTCGAAATGCTGATGCGACATGGTTAACGTGGTAAGCAAGCGATGTTAACATGACGCATCTTTAGTAATTATATTGGCAAGACAAGCAAGACATGCGAACATAGGTTGAATGTTGCTTGGGATGAACATGATCGGCGTCGATGCCAACTCAGACGACATTGGTGATGCTGTCGGGACATTGATGCCCAACTTCAGGATATTCAAACTTTGGTTTGGGCCACGTGACGCTTTGCAATATATGGACATGAGGGCCACACGGCCCTCGTCAATCCACAGCGAGGAGGTCAAGTGCCCCACATGGGACGATCGATAACCCTCGTTTCATATACTTTTGCTGGTGTTGTTGATGTGGCACCAAGTAGGTGACATACTCTAGCATCATACGACGATGATTATCACGTACGTTAGTGAATTATTATCAGTATTTTTAAAAGTGTTACAAATTAGCAGTGGCAACAGGGTCAGAATGCACAAGTCGACCAAATTAAAATACTATAACTCTTTTTTTAAGAACAAAAGTAGCGGGTGAAATTGGAAATAAACGCCAATTTTGAGAACTAAATATAAACTTTTATAGCCTCCTAAAATTTACGAATACCATCACAAATGACGAACTAATAACATGTGTCTATTCTTCAAATTGGACGAGTTTCAAGAATGAGCACCTATTCATAATTAAGTGATAAGTTAATACCATGAAAAACCCAAAATTGGTATACCTGTAACAAATTACCCAAAACTAATTTTTCGACCACCAAAGTCCTCAAATTGGTACACATGTGACAAATTTACCATCCGTTAGCTTCTGTTAAATTTTAACCGTCAAATTGCTAAGTTTGATAACATTTGACAGCTGATGAGTATATCAGTTTGAGGTTTTACCCCTTTGTTTGTTACAAGTTTACTAATTTATAATTTTTCGTGGTATTAATCCAATTTAATGGATGGTAAATTTATCACAAGTGTACCAGTTTGAGATTTTTCATGGTATTAATCCTCAAGTGATGACTCAAAAGATCGGACATTTCAAAAAGTAAGATTCAGAAATCCACTATTGTGAGCATTAAATATATTTTTGCACGCAATCCGGACCATGCTCTATGAGGGAAAATTCTAAAAAGGGATCCGAAGTTGAGTCATTTTCTCAAATAAGAGCATGAAGTGGACCGAAGTGCCCTCATTTTCTCAAATAAGGGCCCGAAGTGCCCTCATTTTCTCAAATAAGGGTCTGAAGTGAATCTTGTCTCAGATAAGGGCCTGAAGTGGCCATATCAGTTTCAAATAAGGACTTGACCTCACCGGCCAAATGGTATTTTCGTCTTTTACTTTTTTGAATTTTTTTTCCTTTTTCTGTTTTTTTCTTTTCCTTTTCATTTTCTTTATTTTTTCCTCTCTTCCCTACGCTGGCCATTGCCGGGGCCAGCGGAAGTCATTGGCCTCAGGTGGAGGCCACTCTTGCCGGCGACGGGCGAGGGCCGTCCTAGCCTGGGCTCGCGAGGGTTGCCCTCGCCGGCGTTGGGTAAGGGCCGCCCTCGCCTGGGCTAGTGAGGGCGAGGCCAGCCTAGGCAAGGCGACCCTCGCCCGACGCCGATGAGAGCTGCCCTTGCCTGGGTCGAGCGGGCGAGGGCGACCCTCGCCAGATCTGGCGAGGGCAACCCTCGCCTCGCCCTTGCCTGACACTGGCAAGGGTTGCCCTCGCCGGATTTGGCAAGGGTCCCCCTCGCCCGCTTGGCCTAGGCGAGGCATCCCTCGCCCGACGCCGCTAGCCCAGGCGAGGGCGGTCCTCGCCCGAAGCCGGTGAGGGCGGCCTCGCCTGAGGCCGACGAAGGTCGCCGGCCAGGCGCAGTGAAGGTTGGGAGGGAAGAAGAAAAAAAGAAAAAGAAAAAAGAAAAAGGAAAAGAAAAAGAAAGTAAAAAAATATACTTATAATGTTTTTTACTAAAATACCCTTTCTCCAGCGACGGAATAGTCACCAGCCGGCCAAAGGTCCTTTTTTAGACGATTTGGCCACTTCAGGCCCTTATTTGAGCTGATTTGGTCACTTCATACCCTTATTTGAGATAATGTTTACCTCGGACTCTTATTTGAGAAAATGACTCCACTTCGGGACCCTTTTTAAAATTTTCCCTGCTCCATGACATGATTTACGAGAGGGGGGACTATCACAACCTACGCGAACTAATCCATTCTTAACCAGCCTCGGACACGCCACGATTAGCGACGGAAGAGAGACAGAATCTCCGGACATCGACATAAATCGTGGGTCCGATTTCTTGAAAACTTTCGGACAGAATCGCCTTACAGATCATCAATGAAAATGACTTTGCCCTTCCCTCCAATTTTTCGCGTCAGACATGGATTTTTTACAAGACGAGAAGATTGGAGTCTGAGACGAAAGGGAGGAGAATGGGGCTCAGATCGATGTCAAAAGTGGCTCGTAAAGTCAAATTTGTTACCTTCTTTTGTGCCCCTTTTGCTTTTTCAAGGTTTGAAATTTGGGTCCTCTCCCCGATCCCAAGATAACAAAAAGAACCTCATCCTTACTCGAGCCCCCCGTAGTGGCTGCTTAGGTCTTCAAAGTTAATCCCACCTTTATTCGGATCACTTATTAAACGATTAATTAAAGAAATTACCCGACTTTTTAGTACAACGATCATTTTTCCCCCGTATATATTTATTCACCGCTTCGGAAATCGAATTACTCCGTGCTAATATGCTTAAAATAGTGTCCTATAAGCACCCGCCAATACGAATCGCCGGGTAATGTCAATCCTTGCTTGCTGAATAATTTAAGTATCTCTGTGTTTATGCAAGACATCATCTTTCTGCAAAACCTAATTCAGAAACAAAGAGAACTCTCAGGAGATCAATATCATTTTCTTCCTCAACTATCTTTAGTTACTTATTTTACAAACATTGTATCGATGGACAAATGGGGTGAATTATTAAATTCTATCTTGTCATTGCACATTTTTAGTATTAAGAGCGTGTTTGCTTTTGGGAAAACTTCAATTTCAAGGAAAAATGTTTTCCCCTTATCGGATTATGGAATTCACTTTTCTTGCTAATTATTTGCAGCAAATCATGCGCGTGAAAATACGCAAACTTACTTTTTATGACACCAAAAATCCCAATTTAAACCCACGTCATATATTTATCCTCTGTCAAGATTTTTTTTGCCTTTTTGTTTTTACCTTCCTCCGTCATCTTCACCGCTGCCCTCGCCGCCTTTATTGTCACCATCGCCACCGTCCTCACCATTGCCAAACTAAGGAAGAAAACGTAGGAGGAAGTAAAAAAAAAGGAAAAAGAAAATCATACTATGAGTTGACACATTTTTGCCAGATGAGTGCCACTTCAGCATCGATTGCTTTCCGTAGTCCATGTAGGCAGCCATATAAGATTTTTAGCGGTGTTTATAAACGGAATTTCGATTGAGGGTAAATGTGTCGCATTGATATAAATTTGGGGTAAATATGTTACACGAATACAAATTTGTGGTTTTGGTGTCATAGCAAAAAGTTTGGGATAATTATATCATATAGTAATTTGGTTGAACACATAGGTACAAGTTTGGGAGTTTATGGTGTCACAAAAAAAGTTTAGGATAAACGTATCACAATGTGTATAGTTTTAGATTTTTGTGGCTTTTTCCCTTAATATATATACCTTAGTTTTGTTTAATTTTTTTACATATCGTACACATATCCAACGCTTGTGCATATGTGCAAGTAAAGATAGGATCTAATTCAACTAGTGTCTATGCCTATATTTCATTGGCACCCGATTCAAAATACCTCTCAGACGACAAACATCTCAAGATAGATACTAGAGTGTACTTTAAAAAGCGCCATGAATAGTTTTCTTTTTACAAGGTTATATCTGTGGACCAAAAAGTTTGATTTCTCAATCTAGGTGGGGGAGGCAACTCACATTTTACCTAAAGCAAAGTTTATGAGATGAAACAAAGCATATATCATCTCTATCCGACTGTGATGAATCTGTCCATACTGAGAGAGAGAGAGATCAAACTAAAATAAACCTTAGATGGTGGCGATTCTTCCTCATTGTCCTGTGAAGGAAAAGGAAGATGCAATTTGCAGAGGCCTGAGCAAGTTAGCGGCGGATGGCCAAGCTCAATCACAAAACAAGAATATACGATGCTTCAATCTCCATGAGAAGAACATTTTCCCGCTTCTCCTCTCCCTGAAAAGACAAAAGCGTATGAAAATAAATAAAAAAACGAACACTTTACTCAGTAACCCTTTCCTTTTCTTTCTCCACTTACCTCGAATCCTTCATACGAAACTACTTTTCATTCGTTATATATGCGTTAACACTCATCACAAGGTACAATCTCAACCTCAGTCGACTGGTTGTCGACTCTTTTCCTTGAAGGGAAGGACCCAAACGAACAGAGCGAGTGGGAGGATTCAAGGGCTGTACTACCTTTGAGGATGCTTCGCATTACTTGGTCCTGCATTGTGCTTTTATGCTGTTCGTCCTCTCTTCATGCACTCAATCTCAAAGCAACTTCTTCTTCTTCTTCCAAAATCGTGGTCCATCCACATCAGCATCCCGAGCCAGAAGCTGTCGTCCAAGATTTGAACAGGTAATTAGTTTCTCTCTGAAGTACAGAAACTGAAGCAAAAAAACAAGAAAGAAGAAAGAAACAAAAAAGTGCTGGTTAACCAACTAGCAAATTTCAATGTGGTTCGTTTTCTCTCGAATTGTGGGTGCATCATAGGTTTACACGTTTGTGGGATAATCACATGACAAGTGTCGATGGGCTGAACACGTGGCGACTTGTGACGTTGCCCATTTGGCAATTACTGAATAGAGTACTGTGATTTTTCATATATTAACACGTGTCATGCTGACAAGATATTGCACTATGGTCACATTTCAATATTCAAAAGTTAGCACAATGAGAGAATGTGATTGACGCATGTTACCATCACTGCATACACACGACTGTTACATAAAATACTTTCATTTGGCAGCGATAATATTGCTGTCTTCTTTGCATTTCAATTTAGACTTAGCAAGGGATATTAAATTTCAAATCAGTCATTGGAATCTGAAGGCAAGCAATTTTCGTGCAGGAGGGTGAACGAATCCGTCACCAGAAGGCAGCTCCTTGCGATCCACGTAAAGGACCAGTGCTTGACGGGCAATCCGATTGACGACTGCTGGCGGTGCGACCCGAACTGGGAATCGAACCGCGAGCACCTAGCCGACTGCGCGATTGGGTTCGGCCATGAGGCCCTTGGTGGCAGGGGCGGCAACGTCTACGTTGTTACAGACCCATCTGACCCGGACCCAGAGAACCCGCCCCCTGGCACGCTTCGCTACGGTGTTGTCCAAGCTGGACCCCTCTGGATCATCTTCTCTGGTAATAAACTGGCAAAATCATCCACAATCGAGCTTACTAATGTCATCTATACATGTTTCAAGTGCATGCTTCTGTGGAATTTGTCTATTACGTGCTCTGTTTTCTATGTTTACATCAAGTACTTGAACTCAATCAAAAGAAGGAAAAAAAGATCCAAGTACTTACGACAGAAGACCTTGGGTTAGTATCAAATACTATGAAGGGTTAATAGGATAATGCCGGGACTCGAGGCGCTGGGTGAAATTTCCCTCGGCGAAACAGGAAAATGAAACTCAGTTTCATATAGGCAAGGTAGCTTATTTAGGCATGTAGAAACTTAGACAAGATGAAATCCTCTGGACAAAGTTTGACATATGATTTACCTGCTAAACTGGTTCAACATTTTTCTGTTTTCCCTCCCAGGTAATATGGTAATCAATCTCAAGTATGAGCTTCTTATCAGCAGTTTCAAGACCATCGATGGCCGAGGAGCCAATGTGGAGATAACAGGTCTCGGTTGTTTGATCATTTATGAAGTCACCAATATCATCATCCACAATGTGCACATTCACCACTGCAAGCCTTCCGGGAATGCCAAGATCCGGATCAGCCCGACGCAAGTCACTGAGAGGGGAAAATCGGACGGCGACGGGATATCCGTCTTAGCATCATCAAAAATCTGGATTGACCATTGTGCCCTGTTGTATTGCACAGACGGTCTGATTGATGTCACCGAAGGATCTACGGCAGTCACAATATCCAACAACATATTCACCCACCACGATAAGGTGATGCTGTTGGGTCACAGTGATGATTTCACAGCCGACACAGGAATGCAAGTGACTGTTGCATTCAACCACTTTGGTGAAGACCTAAAGGAGAGGATGCCACGGTGCCGGTTCGGGTACTTTCATGTTGTGAACAATGACTACACTCAGTGGGGGATGTATGCTGTTGGAGGGAGCTCCGGTCCTACCATTAATAGTCAGGGGAATCGGTATCTCGCGCCGCAGGACGATAACAACAAGGAGGTAAACTTAAAATTATCTGATCTGCGTTTATTGATTCTGTAGAAATTATTTTGTGAGATTCAATCATCCAGAACCTGCATAATCATCCTCCTTCAATCTGGTAAGTTAGTGAAACAGGTTGCTGCATATGAGCTTTTACTGGGTGCTAGTTTCGTGTTTGTCAAAGTTAAGGAAATGAAAATCATCTATAGTGTCTTCATAGACTGGAAATGATTATCCTGCCACATAATCTCGCCAAACTACAGAATAATACACTTCCGATGTCAAAACTTTTCTTTGATTAGATAAAGAAACATCATGTTAAATCCCAGTAGCTGCTTTCGACTGTCATTACGTGAGTTCGGTAGAAGAAGCCCAGATGATCAATATGTTTGCTGCATTGCGCCCAATTATTACTTACATGTATTGGAGGAAATAGGTGACAAAGCGAATGGACACAGATGAGAGCGAGTGGAGGAAATGGAATTGGAGATCGGAAGGCGATCTGATGGTGAACGGTGCCTTCTTTGTGACCTCTGGTGCGGACATGAGCCCCCAGTATGCCGAAGCCTCTAGTATGTCGCCACTATCGGCAAACTACATCGATCAGCTCACTGAGACTGCTGGTGTTTTAGTTGCACAGAGGTAGCTCTCGGTGTCTGTTCCCTCAATTGCAACTTTTATCGGTGCGTTATGTTTTAATCTAACCTATCAAAGCACCAGCAAATAACTCTGGATGTGCCCATCTGTGATTTAGAACTACCTTCGCCAATCACCTTGGATAAGATACTATAAGATTAAAATGATCGTCAGCATGCAGTATAGATATTAGTCTCCTGAACATGCAATTCGAACTTCTATGCACCATGCTGCACATTTAGCTGTTCTGAATCAAATTTTGGGTAGAGCTAATCAATTTAATGGAAACTAATAGTATAGGATCCTCATAGTCCATAGGATTCTGCCTTTCTTGTTTTTGACTCCATCTTCGTTCTTTTAGGAGACATAGGTTCTCTCGTATCTGTCGCCATTTGCCACACTGAAACTATGAAGATGAGTTCTACGCCAACCTGAAAATTCATATGTGGTTTATGCTACTCTTGGGTGATCACCTCAGTAATTATTTTAATGCCACGAAAACCTTCAGTTCTTTGTTTATGGTAAAATCATTTTTGTTGTTTTTCTTGTGGACAGGACTAAGGACTAATAACATTTAGCCTTTTATTCACGTACTTGCTTTTTTGGCCAGTGCATTTAGTATTTGTACAACTAGAGATATTATTGTCATTTTGGTTTCCTTCGCTGGTTTACATTTCTTCCGTTTACTTGGCAGGAGTGACGCCGGGACTGTGACGAATCCCCCTCCCGGGTCAAGCGGCGGGATTGTGATGAATCCTGCTGCTCCCGGGTCAAGCGGCGGGATCGTGATGAATCCTGCTGCTCCCGGGTCAAGCTGTGGGACTGTGATGGATCCCGGGTCAAGTGGTGGAGATGGAAGCTCTTGCTACCCAGGACAGGGATCAAGTGGAACCGTACCCGGAACGGGCGGTTGGGGATATCCCGGAATTGGAGGTTGGGGATATCCCAACAACGGCATCAGCTATGGCACCAATTTCGGTAGCGACGCGAGAACGCCACTTGCCCCAATGACCTCGGTCGTCTTATCTGTCATAACCATCTTAGCATTCTTACAGCAAACTCGCTTTTGACACAACACGCGCGGTAGAATCTTAGAATAGGTAACTATAGTCGATTCAGTTTTTAATCTCGAGAACGTGAATCCGGCTGATTGCGGTGGAAGGATTGCGTAGAGCTTTGCATTTTTGCAGCAGTTGGGTCTTACCCAACAATCTTTCCATCAAATTGTTAAAGACAGTGGGTAGGAAAATGTACAAATTCTATGAAATGAAATACCTTAACTCTCGTAAGTATGTACCCATCAATGATTCTGCATTAGTAGCTTTCTCTCCCCAAGGAATCTTCACGTATATACACATGCGGGTGCCAAAGAGCGGTTCGCGCATGAGAAAGTAGGAATCGTCGCTTGTATTTACATGGGTTGGCCGCCGAGGATCGGTTCGCACTTGGAGGAACCATCTTCTTCTGAAATATGAGAAGATAAAATTAGTAAAGAAATGCAGAAACCGTGAAATGTAGCCGCGTGACCACTGGCGAGGCCTGCCTAGGCACCGGCCCCTGGTTGCATGACCCTGATGAGACTTCGCCTGGGGTGGTACCGCTCCCGGCGAGGGTCTCCTGGGTCGAGGGACACCGGTAAGTGGCTTGCCTGGGGTCACGCCACCTTAGCGAGGTGGCATCCGGATCGGGCAACCCCACGGGAGACTTTGCCAGGGCGCCACATCCGTGCCCGGCCCCCTTTGCCTCTCTCTCTCTCTGGGCTTTTTGGCAAACTGAAAAGAAGAAGATGGGTAAAACAGGAATTATGAAAATTTCTTGAGAGTAAAGTAAAAATAAAAAGAATTTACTTTTAGCTCATGATGGTATGTCGGGTCTCCGAAGCAATTGTCATACATACTTGTTGACACCAAAAAATAATTAGGTTGTCGACAATAAAAATTTATATGAAAAAATTAAGAAATACATAAGGTAGAACTTAGACATGAAACCACATACATGTATACACAAAGCCATAAATAAAGAGATGATGTATCCATATTGTGAGCCTGGTTGTCGAAGTATGGCAACAGACAGCTGGCAGCCGCCAATAGTGACACTGGCGGGGAGATTTAAACATTTGAAACTTGAGGCGGATTAAATCAAGGAGGGAACAATTATCGCTTGAAAAATCAGATGCGGAAGTTATTGATGAAACAGTTATCACTTGAAAACTTAGTTGTAGGAGCTATCGATGAAGTGGTTACTACCAAAGGACTTGAGAACTCAGACATATGAGATATCGAAGAAGTGGTTACCACCGGGGGACTTGAGAATTCAGTCATAGGAGTTATCGATGAAGCGGTTATTGCCTAAGAACACGGTCGTAGGAGTTGTCGACGGGAACATACGGTTTTGCACACGTTAGATATGGTTATGAGAGAACGTGGATAATCTAAGACCGTGGAAAGAAAAAGCAAAGATAAGATTGATGGAGGTTTACTTGATGTGGACTGATAGTTGTAAAAAATGGTTACCACGTTATCATTATAAATACCACCCGATGGCCAGCAAAAGAGCCCCCGCCCACCCCCCTAAAATCACAATCACATGTGCACAGTACTTTCGGTTTCGTTAACTATATATTTTTATATTTGAGCATTAGTATAACATGTTATTGACGGAGTTCAAGTACAATATCCTGTTATAGATCAATACCACTGCCAATAAACGGCTGGTGTTTATCAATCAAATATTGTCACAATAATTTTGTATTGTTTTGGTTGAAGCAAGTGGATTCTTTTTCTCGCTTGGATATCTCCTGTCTCCTCCTGAACCCAATCCTTTCTCATGAAAAACCGAAGAACGACATTCGGTGAACTATATTTCGTTGCGGGATCAGTTCCGGTGAAACAATACTTTACGAGAAATTTCACGAAACAATGTAGTACCATGCCCTAGGTTCCCAAACCGGCAAATGTCGATTGTCACTTTTTTCTTTAAGATTTTAAGGCAAAATTGTTCTTGATTATGACCTAACCTCGTAAAATTTTGTAAAGGTTTTTATTTCATTAATGTGTTGTGGAAAATTTTCGCTTGATTAAAACATGACATATTTATTGAAGATGATACGTGATTGGCTCATTCAAATTCAATGTAAATCAATAATATACATAGCTATTAAAAAATAGTTGATGATAAAAACACCGTTGGAGGGAATAGTTGAGACTTATAACATCTGAGTTATCATGAGAACCGTACCCAATTCCATGCACCAAAACGCAAATAATCATGTCACTATAGGCAGACATTCATATTCACTCTGACAATTCTTGAGTGCTCCTTTGGGGTCTGGCAGGGTTTGTTAAGATTATTTGTCTTGAGTTCATATATGTTGATTGAATGGCCATGTTCTGTTTTATCTGCTGGCTCTTCTTGGTATGTGATGTAGGCATCTTCCTCTGCATAATGAGAAGGAATTATGCGATGATTTTGACCAGACTCCTGTCCATCTCCATGATATGTTTAAGTATGTTTTCAGTACAATTGCCATATAGAAAAGGGTTAATACCACGAAAAACCCTAAATTGATACATATGTGACAAATTTATCCCAAATTAATTTTTTGACCACTAAAACCTTCAAATTGGTACACATATGACAAATTTACCATTCGTTAGTTTCTGTGAAATTTTACCATCAAATTGCTGAGTTGGGTGACACGTGACAGTTGACGGGTGTACTAGTTTAGGGTTTTACCCCTTAGTTTGTTGGTTTTCCATGGTATTAATCCTATTTAATGGAGGGTAAATTTATTATATGTGTACCAGTTTGGGGTTTTTGGTGATCAAAAAATTAGTTTAGGATAAATTTATTACAAATGTATCAGTTTGGGGTTTTTCGTGCTATTAACCCTATAGAAAATAATTCCAAGCAAAGATTGAGAAGCAACATAGCTTTCTAGTTCTGTTGGGAAAGTTGTCCAAAAAGTCCTAATTCTATTGTATGGAGATCAATTCAGTTCTAAACCTTTCAATTGCACCAATTTATCCTAAACCTATTAACGATTTGCAATTTTAGTCTTAAACTTTCCAATTGCGTCATCCTAAACCTTTTGATAATTTGACAATTTGATCATAAACTTTTTAATGATTTGCCAATGTAGTCCTTCCAGCCAAATATCCAAATAATAGGTTTAAAACTAAATTGACAAATCTTCACAAGGTTATAGGACTAAATTGACACAAAAAAATGTTTATGACTAAATTGACACAATATAAAGATTTATGATTGAATTGGATGCCATACTTTGGTGATAGAATGAGAAATGTCATCAATTGTAATTTAAAAAAACTGAACTCAATTTTTTTAAGAAATTGATGACTTATATTACAACTTCTTCTTTCAGGATAATGATGGAAATTACGGCCGTTCTTTTTCTTTTTGGCCACTAGAGGGCGGCACGAATAAGTGATCACCCTAGTGATTTTTTCAAACACTCTCTTCGTCACATCTTAAATTCAACAAGAATGGGGAATGACACAATCATCATGCCACATGAAGGATGCAGTCACAAACACAACCAACAACATGTTATTAAAATATAGGCAAAAGGACACTATAAGTGCCATAACTTGTGTACGGAGATCACTTTGATGCCATAACTTTTTTTCGGATCACTTTGGTGCCAAGTCGGAGGAAAAATGATCACTTAAATGTCATAAGTTTTTTTTGGATCACTTCAGTGCTAAAATTTTTGAAAAACGATCACTTAAGTGCTAAAATTTTTTAAAAACGATCATTTAAGTGCTAAATTTTTTGAAAAACGATCACTTAAGTGCCAATCTCCGGCGAGCCACGTCAGCTTCAGAAATTAATAAAAAAAATGCCACGTCGGATTTCCGGCGAAAAATTGTGTACGGCACCGGAGTTGGCACTTAAGTGATCATTTTTCAAAAATTTTAGCACTTAAGTGATCGTTTTTCAAAAATTTTAGCACTAAAGTGATCCAAAAAAAAGTTATGGCACCAAAGTGAGCGCCGTACACAAGTTATGGCACTTGTAGTGTTCTTTTGCCTTAAAATATATATTTGATAAAACAATAGGTTGGTTACAATATAGAGTTTCCATCATCCATCATAAAGAATATATTCAACTTAGAACTCAGCCAACCCTATAAGTATCAACTCAGAAACAATACAACTAGCTAAGCCCTTACCCAAAATCCTACTACCAAAAGTTCTTTGCCGATAGCACTCTTGCCCTACTTACCGCTAATCGAGGAACTTGAAAACATTTTTGACAGATGAGATGAGCAACGATACCCCAGTGAGTCTCTTCAAAGCAAATCGAGTAACCACTATGTATATATACAAAGCAATACCAGAAACTCGTACCTTAATCCCAAGATATAATGTACATATCAAAGCAAATATGAGTTATTTCATTTTAATAAAACTTTACACAAATTAGATATACTCATATAATTCACCACCACAATTCAAGCATCAATGGCAAGTCCATTGATTATTCTCATCAATTCACACGTCAACAGTTCATTTTAATGGCCAATCTCAAATCACATATCAATGATCAATTCCATGCTCAATATCTAACTCAAGACTCTAGAGGTGGCTCCCACAAAACTTACGTTATCATGTAGCACTTAGTCATTGTCCAACGCATATTAAGAGTACAGGGCCCCAGAAGTGGCACCCATGAGACTTGCGTCACTATGTAGAACTTAGCCCTTGACCGACACATATCAATAGTTTAAGGCTCTAAAGGTGGCTCTTACAAGACTTGCGTCGCTGTGCAGCACTTACCCTTGACTATAAGGCCCTAGATGTGGCTCCCACAAGACTCGTTTTCCTGTGTAACACTTATCCCTTCTATAGTATGCATATTAACATCTCTTCGGTGGATTCCCAACGATCATGAACAATCCATCATCCCCAATAATTTACTAAACCAATCTAGAATATATATCACAAATCGGTTTCACAAACCAAAACAAATAACATTTTTACAACACAGCTCATCCGCCACCTTTAGAACTCGATTTATAAACCAGTTCGTAAAGCATTTCTCAAATAATTTTCGAACTCGATTTATAAACCAGTTCGTAAAGCAATACATACACACATGTATATTTCCTTTCACAATCCTTTCCTAAAACCATTCTTAAACCATTCACAAATAACTGTAAATGGCTAATCTAGACTTTTATGCAAAAAAAAAAAAATGCCATAAACATCACTTTTGCTTTTTAACCAAATCACACTTTGCACAAAATATGCCTAATCCTTTTTAT